TACTAAGAGCTATGTTAACCCGCACAAGATGTTTGGTAGAACCCATCATTTGGGAGTTTGGCCAGTGCCCAAATGTCCAATCGTTGTGCTGGGTTTCTTGCAAGGGTTCCTCCACGATTTTCAAGCAGTTCCTTTCTTCCACCACCAATTGTGGTTCGCCCGCGCCGAAGAACTCTCTACATCGAAAAGAAGCTTTCTTGCAGGTGAGCTGGTTCCAGGGAGGCCCCCAAAGTTTCTTTGTTTGACATGAGGTTGGCTCCGTAGTAGTCTGGGGTGCCAGAGCTCCTGGGGAATTCTCCGCTCTATAGGTTGGTTGAACTGACGAAATCGTCAGAAAGTTACTCCCTGGACATTGGCATGGAACCCGGGTGCCTGAACGGGTGGCAAAGTCCAACACCTTTTTTTTGGTTGACCATGGGTTTCGGGTATGCCTTCAATTTGTGGTGAGCTAGGGGAAACACATGCCATCGGGAGGCGGCAGATGTGGCCAGGACTGGGTCACTTTTGTGACCGATTCGGGGCAGACGATGTGGCGTTTCAACATCGGAGACAGGGGGTTCTCTGAGGTTTCCCACGCGAATCCCAAAATTGGGTGCTCTGAAAACACCCCCGCTCAGCCGCTCAGCTTTAAAAGGAAGCCAAAGGGAAAACCTTCTTGGACTGGGACCCTTAAAATGAGCTGCTCAAAATTGCTTGCGGGTTTGCGGCTTTTGGTTTCCCCGGACTGTAATTTTGGGGATGTGACTTTAGTGGACTAGGATCCCTTGGATCCCTTGGATCCCTTAGTGCCTTCCGCGCTTCTCATCGACGACATTTGACCGAACGATGGCGAGAAGTGGTGCCGACTCGCCGGCCGGCTGGTCAGCTGGTCAGCTGGTCAGCTGAGCAGGCCAAGTTCTATCGCATGCAGCGGTGCACTTCCAGGAGGGCAAGAAGGTGTGCGACGCAACCGCTTTCTACAAAGAGATGTTGCTGGGCTGTGAACACACCGTGTGGCATTCGTGGCCCCGCTCTGGTCCCTCACTTAGGGATACGACAAGTCCTAGACTTGGGTCTTTTGGCTTCCCCCTTCTCCCCACCAAACCGCCCAAAAGAGACAGGTGGTGGTCGCACAAAAGGTTGGGTTAGTAACCCTGCGTGCCAGGGTTTACCGGTTTACAGGCACTGCATCGAAGCAATCTCGGAGCGCTTTGGGAAGAGGCAACGAGGGCCCCAGGGGTTGATGAGAGCCTTCAGGCTCAGGATCAGGCTCGAGAAAGTGACTCGGTGCAGAGACTTGGACGAATGGTCGGCTTTGAGCCGACGTTTTTTTTCAGGACGAATCCAAGGTGAGCTCACATGCAGAGATGGCAACCATCGGATTTGTAATTCAAGTACTTCAAGACTAAGCCATCCAGTTCACTGCAGATGCGCACAACGGATATTACCCCAGCACATTGCATCGCAACCTTGCAAGAACTTGCACTGAAGAGCTGTCAGCACAGTCATCGAAGCAGGTCCCAAAAGAAGGACTCCCCCTCCCCGCCCCGCCCCCCCCGGCATGGGTCATTTTCACCAAGGTAGCTGTGCCATTTTTCCAGATTGCAACTCAAAGACAAGGAGCTGGGTTTTGGGCATGTACGATGGGTGAACCGAATGGGGGATAAATCTTTAAAATGACGCCAGGCACGAAGCGCTCCCCCGAAGCAGGCTGACGCCAGTTGCGAAAGCCCAAGCGCCCCACAGAGTTTCCCCCAAGCGGGCAAGCCACATCTGTGTTTTCCGTGTTTAAGAAGATGCCAGAAAGAAACCAGCCGGTCTCTGCGGCCCATTTTACGAGACACAAGATGTTGGCGTCCACATGGCTTTCAACTCCCGCGGGCCCCGGCAAACTCCGATTGCTTCGACCCGAACCCGGTCTGTTGAGCAGCCATTCATGCCCACTTTAGATTGCTCTTTTTCCATCGTGGAAGTGGACAGGAGGATCTTGGAAGACAACCATCCTCCCAGAAAGGCCTGTTGTCCAGTTCCATCTTGGAAACCGGGTAGGGAGCCAAAAACAAATCGGCGACAGGAAAGAAATGGTTTTCGCGCGCATGGCTTCAATCATCCCCACAAACATGCGACCTGTCACCCCCAAAGTGCGATACCTGAAATGGAACGCTACCCCAACGTGGAAATGGCCTGGTGGGAAATTGACAGGGTCACTGACACATATTCCTTGTGTTTATTGGCCACGACTCCAATGAACGTTTGCTTCTCACCAAGAATCTCACCCTCTTCCCTATATAAATTTAAAATATTTGTCCAGGTGCATGGTGAGGCTCACCGAGCCTTTCTCGTTTGTTTCCAAACAGGCTTCCGGCTTCCCATGTCGCATGCCGCACTGCCGCACTGCCGCACCGGAGGAGGCAGTCCACGGACCTTATGGCGCAGCTGGACGCGATGCGGAAAGACCTGGAGAACGCCAAGAAGGCGTGCTACCGCTTTTTCTTTTTTTTTTCTCCGGGGCGTCGAGCAGAAGCCGGTTGGTGGGTTGGTTTCCCTTGGGGTCTTGGACGCAAGACAGGTGCCGATCGGGGCTCCGTAAGGATGAGACAAAGCGGGTGGCCAAAGAGTTGATTGCTTTCAATGCAGTTGGTATGTTTCTTTGGGTTTTGTCAAAGAGCTTGGTGTTTGTCAGCTTCACAGTTTTGAGGGTATGTACATGGAATTGCCTGAGTGTGTCCTCAGTAGATTTTTGTTTAACGGTACATAGTGGAAAACCTCGTTTGATACCGGCTGGTGTGAGGGGGGAGGGGACCCCTCTCAAAATGGCCGGCCTTCATTGGCTTGCTTTGACTTGCCGTTTCTCGGGGACTCAGGTGGGAACTGAAAGGAAAGCACAAGTTGGGATGAGTTGGTTCGGTTCCAACTCATTCCCCACAAGCCAGAAAGTTGAACAGACCCAGAAACCATCGAAGGTTCGTTCTGAATGGAGGACCTCCAAAATGGGCCCGGCTTTCCCTTGGTTTCCCTTTAAAGGGAGCCAAGAACGTGTTTTTCTTTCAAACAGGGAGCCACCTTCCAAAAGGGAGGCGGTGTCCGATCACTGTCTCCATGCATAAATCGGACAGCGAGAAAACAGGGCAGCCAAAGGGCCAAGCCACCCTGAGGTTCGACCAACGGTGCGCCGTTGCAAACGCCTGCTGTGGCTGACCTGAAAGCGCATAGCCAACCAGAACATTTGCTTGTTCTCAGACAACATGAGAATTAGTTTCGCCAAAAAAATCCTGCGAGGATGCATTTGTGGTTAAGTGTTTGAGGTCATGTTCAAAATCTCTGGTAACCAACAAAAGGAGCAATATCCCTCTTAGAAGTCTGCAAAGTAGGTCAGCACCCAGCCAGAGACGGTCCATCCGTGCCAGGAGCTTGCCGAAGAGAGGCGTTTGGCCCTCTGGGGAGCAGAGGTCCGGCTTGTTGATTGAGGTCCGTTTCGAAAGCACATGAGGTTGTTCCCTACTGTGGATGGACGGAATCCTGCACCACTTTGAAACCATGGGAAGCCATTGTTTGTTGGTATTTACAGGGGATTTCTTAGGTGGTGCAGGATTTTGTCCATCCACAGTAGTTGAGGTTTTTCCCCCTTTGCCCTTTCTGATTCGTTTTCCGAGTTGACAAGAAAATGAGAAGTTGGGTGCCGATTGCACTTCCACATAAAGACGCCTGGGTTGCTGGAGCGAAACAGGGGGTTCCCTTTGTGAAAAGCAGTCGCCCAACCACATTCTTTCTCTGTGTTCAGATCCAGGTAGATTCCCCTTCCGGAAAAGTCAGCCGCCTGGATCAATTAAGCCTTTAACTTGGTAGTCAAGCAGTGGAACGAAGCGGGTGGCCAGTTGCTTTCACCGGTTCTGGGAGGAAGGTCAAGGGTGGGTTGACAAACAAATGGGCCCTTCTGGGCTCGTTTCAGTGACATTGGGCATGGTCTCCTCCATGTGACCCAGATGAATCATTTTGGTGCTATGCAGGGCGGGCTCCCCTGGTTGTTTTGCTGTTGTGCCACGTTATTTTGTCTCTTTCGGAAGCCAAAGGCGATTCGGCTTGTTTTGCCGGGTTCCCTGCTTTCCCCTTTACAGGGCGGCCTTGGACATCCCATTTTGGAAGGCCCATCCGTGGGGTGAAGCTTGCGGAAAGGCAAAGACCCTCCAGTGAACCCCTCTGTTTTGAACGCTGGTAACTAGGGGTCCCCAACCAGATCTAAGAATCCTCCACATCCGCATGGACTGGACATTTGGGGCAACTTCGTTCGAAAAATATATAGCAACCAAGATTGGGCCACCCGTTTCGGATGCCACTTTGCGCCGCACCCATTTCAGAAACTGGGCCTGAGGCCGGTCCAGCACCCGGCCGCCGCCGGAGAGTGACGGAGGCGAGCGGTTCGCCTCGCCCAAAGCATACCAAAGCTTCGCATGGTGAAAGTGATGCTGAAGAAGGGGGAGGGTGGAGACCTTTGGCATTTACCTATGTCATTCATTTTTTTCTGTTTTTTGTATGGTTCCGAGATATGGTTGGCGGTTGCATAAATCACCAATGTAAATGATGCCCACCAAAGGGCTCTCAATTAGAAGTCATTTCTTTTCAATATTTCTGTTTCTATTTTGATACAGCAGCGATATCCCCTCCAACAGCATCCTCGTTTGAAATTCGTTAGTGTTCTCATCTCTTTCGGTGTGATTTGGGTCGGTCTTGGCTGGCCGGGAACCCATTTGCACGGCAAGTCTACGGACATTTTTTCGGGTTGGGACCTCATGGTTTTCCGGCCGAAAAGCGGAAGGCAACTGGACCCCATTGGGTGTTCCCTACTTATAGAAAAGTAAGCGCAACTAGCAGGGTTGGGGCAGGTTCTGCCAACAAGCGCCTCACTTGTTTGGTCTTGTGGTCTTAAGGCCCATTTCGGCCAAGCCTTTTCGTGGATTCTGAAAAGGGGAAGCCATCGGCGCTATCGGCTTGAGCCGACGGCGCGGCCGTCGAGCTGTCGAGGCGAGGAGACGGAGCGGGCGGCCAAACTCCAGCAGCTCGGCGGGAGACCTGTGGTTGGTAGTCAATCGCCTCCAGGGGGAAACCTCCCGGGTACCTGGTGACAATGCCTCAGAGGTTTGGAACTGGGCAAACAGCGCGAGTGGTTTGGAGCCAGCTCGCTGGGAGGGTTCCGAAGGCTTTGGCAGGCTTCTTTCCAGGGCTGTTGGCAATACCAACTGGGCTTTCTTGTTGGGGACCTTTGCGGGGAGTCCCTGCAACATCAACATCAACGAAGCAAGTCCCTTTTTCTGTTTTGTTTTGGGCGGGAAATCTCTTTGGAACCTTTCATTCAACATGAACCGGCCAAAAGGTGTCCAAGCTTTATCTCTTATTGGTATCCAGTGGGTTCCACCGTTTCTCTTTTTGGTGGGTTCAACGAGATTTTTCTCTCCTAGAAATCCACTGGTCTGTGAATGTTCGAATCGGTTGAGATTTGGTCGTCGGCGACGGATGGACCTCTATGAATCATCTGGGGGGTGGTCGCCAAATGGTTAGCTTTGCCTCACTGGGGCTGAACCCCAGCCACCTCCGAACTGCCAAGAGGGAGTTGAGGGTGGTTTTAACAGAAACGAAACTAACCACTGCGCAGTTCCTCCCGGACCATCTAAGCAGGGCTCTTTGGTTGCTCTTTGGTTGCTCTTTGGTTCCCGTTTGCTCTTTGCCGCCTTTCGTTCTGGCCGCTTCGGGTTCGAACGGTTCGCCAGGGAGAAGCTGCGGCAGTCGCGGCAGGAGGTGGAGGTGCTCAAGCAGGAGACTGGAATTTCTCGCGATTTGACTTGGTCCCATGGGAAGTATTGGCTTCATTGGGCTTCTGGTTCTACTCGGCGTTCAGTTATCCCTCCAGCTGCAAATGATCTCCACTTAGCCCCCGCACCCTTTAAACCTTGCAAGTAGGAGAGCCATTCAGCGATCACCCCGGACCATCCAAGTAGATCCCTTGCCGCACGATGCCGGTCTTTCACCTGAGGATTCCTTGTTTCCGGTGTGTGTCTCCGGCAAATCTCCTGTCAGCCAGGATAAAACCGTTTGCGAAGCGCAGCTTGCCAGGTGGTTGCTTCCCTCGTTTCGATCCCATCCTTTTGCCTCATGGCAAAAGGACGTCCGGTTTCAGGAGAACCAACAGCTCCGGGACGCCCTGGACGAGGCGAAGATCATGCGGAAGGCCTTGGAGCAGGCGCATCGAGCCGAGTGAGTCTGCGATCTGGGTGAGGCATGGCCAAATGAACGTGGCATCCCAAGAGGAGGGGGGGGTGGGACATGAAAACAGATTGAGGGGAAGGGGGGGGGGTCGGCAGGCTTGGTTCATACTGTGGATGCACTTCGTCAGGATGGATGAAACCTAGCAACTGCGGCTCACGGGAACGCTCAGCATGACGGTAGAACTAAAACTCGAGTGTGGCTTAGGCGCTCGCTGCGAAAGATTGCGCGGCTTTGGTTCAAATTGCTTTTTGGTCCACCAGGGCGCCTTCATACTCTTCAGATCAACATGGACCACCCTTTTTTGGCTGACATTTGAGTGGTCTTAAAGGGAAACCAATCAGAGACTGATCCCTTTTCAAGCAAACCCAAATGCTTTCGTCTTCTTTTGGGGTTGTGAATTTGCAGGAGACCTCGGGGATGGGCCCAATTGGAACACACCTTGAAGAATTGCTGCCCTTTCGACCGTGTTGCCCTGGTCATGCGACCATGGATGAAGGCAATGTGGTGAACGCTCTTTGGCTTTCCTCTTGACAGGCTTGCCAAGACATTTGCTCAAAAGGTGCAACCCTGGGAGGATGTTGTTTCGATCTGTTTTGTCAGGGTTCCTGATTGCGTGTTTTCCTGTGACCGCCTTAGTTAGCCCCCAGGTTCACCCCTTCAGGGTTAACCTAGATGCCCACAAATTAAAGGCTTTGGACCATTTGCGTCATTTTGCAGCTGGTACCCTCTATTGGGGCTGGTTCGGGGGGTTCTCGCAGGACACCTGGGGTTGTATTTTTGAGGCTCGGCACCCCATTTGAAGGGGCCCAGATCTCTTTTTTGGACGGGGGGTTTCTCAAGCTGTCGAACCCCATTTTAGGTTTGCTGCTCAAAAGGAAGCCAGAAGAAAACCTATTTTTGACACCACCGGACCCCTCCCCCAGTTTCGACTGGAGAGGCCATGGAGGAGCTCCGGAGGAAGTTCGAGGCAGTCCGGTCGGGGTGCGATAGATAGGGAATGACCCGTTTGGGAATGCACCGGAACCGGGATTTTGAGGAAACTATGGGGGAGTGGGTTGTTCGGGGTCATTCATTCCCTCATTCCCTGGGCAGCAGCAAGAAAAGGGCTCCCTTTCGGGTGTCCGTTTTCCGAGCTGGACTCACACGTTTGTCAACCAAAATGTGAGTCATAGTGGATGTCACTTCTTTTTCCAACCTGTTCATGGCTTCACAAATGAAAAAGATCCCTGCAAAGATTTTTTTGTTCTCCTTTTCTACCGTCAATGAAGTGGGGAATCGGATGGGTGCGCAGTGGATGTTTGTTGGGTGAAGTGAGAGAGCCCCCCAGACCATTTGTGAGCACGCTGAACACAGAGAGCAACAGCATAGGAGCGGACAAGACTTGTAAGGTGCTGTACTAAGAAAAACATGGAAACGACGAACCCCCCCAAACCAGAGGTGTCTTTTTAAGGTCAGTTTGGTTGAAAAGATGGTATTGGTTTTAGTTCGAAACAATTTAAAAACATCATCTATTTGTACACGTCCCAAGCCATTTAGGTGTCTCAAAACACCGGGACCCGCAGAATGGGTGGTGCGCCTTTGGTTTTCCCTTTATATATATATATCAACCCAAATTGTGTACCTTCTTGACAAACAACCCCGCCGTCTCCATCCTCCCTTTTCCCCAAATGGTACCCCAACTTTGGACATTGACATTGTGCTGGGCGAACTGTTTATGGCAACCCCGCAAAGGGGGTCTACACAGGTTGTTGGCAAACCTGATTGGGCTTCACCACGACGAGATGTTTACTTGGTTGCTCTGTGGGTGAACTGCAAAGAACGTTTGGACCTTTTGGAAACTGATGACAGTTTACCCACCTATATTCTGGCAAACTTTTTTTCTCGGGTAGTCAAAGACCAACTCAGATCTGTTGGAGCTTTTCTTATTTCAGGAAGCATTCACCCTGACAAGGACCCACAAGCTGCTGAAGATTGACAACACGATTCACAGACGGCTTTTTCAGGTGTTTGGCTTGTGTATTGGAATCTTGCTTAGTGGCATGGTGTTCTTGGTTTTGATCTTTTTGTTGCTAAACATATGTCATTGGGGGGGACGGGGGCGGAGAGAGAGAGGTAGTGGTGTTTGCAGGTTATTAGTTTTCCAGTTTTGGGCGCCCTTTTCCTCCTTAGCAGGAAAACTCACCAGAGACCTTTGCACACCATGCGGCCTATGTTGACCCTTTTTGGGTTCCATGGGAGTTTTTGGTAGGCGAATAACTGGTAATGCTGGTAATGCTGGTAATGCCAGTAATGATTCTGATGATTCTGATGATGATAGAGATGCTGGTGATGCTGGCGATGATGGCGATGCAGGTAATGCTGGTGATGCTGGTGTTGCTGGTGATGCTGGTGATGCTGGTGCTGATGATGACGGCAGTGCCGCGGATGCTGGTGGCTCGCACAATCGGACCTGTTTCTGTCGAAGGGTCTGTGAGCGATCAACTTAGAAAGCATGTCACAGGTTTTATGGCTGTATGGTTTTGTTGTGGGTTTTCTCTTCTGGGTTTTCTTGGCTCCAATTCTTCTTTTATTATTTTCATGTCTCTTTGCAATTTGTGCCATATGCTTTTTTATCCAGAAGCATGCCAGGACTTCAAGAAGAGGCTTCAGGAGAAGGGCGTGGATGTACGCGCGGCCCCAAAAAAGCTTCCGACCTGCTTCAGGTTCCCTGTGTTCTCCTTTAAAGTTGGCCAGGTGAAAGTGGGTGTGCTTTGGGGTGATGTTTAAAGGAAGTATCGCCAGAAGCGCCTGGTTTCCTCCCAAAAACATGAAGAAGGTCTTGTAGGGTCTTGTTTTGGGAAATTCCGAGGTTTTAGAAGGGTACTTCCCGCCTCCCCTTTTCTTTTAAACAAACAACAAAACACCGAGAGCAAAACAAACAGTTGCCCGAGCCGCAAAACAAGGTGTCACCCCCGTTGGAGAAATCCAAGATTCACGTTCACCCAGGACTAAGAACCCCCTGACGGATTATTAGTGGGATGCCCCATTTTACTGTCCTTCACTTTGCGGGGCAACACCCCTCCACAAATCTGCCGGGTTCATCTTGGGTTCCCAGTAACCACTCACCCAAACCTCCACACAGCCAGAAAGCAACCCTATGAATCCACGCAATACTTTCTCTTCATTTTGTTTGGGGGGACATAGCCAGTCTCTCCTTTTTTGGTGGAGGGAGCGACCTCCCCATTTCTCGCCACTTGCCGTCCGAGGCCTTTTGGATGAAGCCCTGGCGGAAGCAGGCCGCGAAGCTTGCTGGTCGGCCGATTGGGATAGAGCCATGGTTGAAGAGCCAGACCTCAAAGGCCCTGAAATTGGAGCTGAATGGGGAGGGCCGAAAGGCGACGCAGGCGACGCAGGCGAATGGTGTACCTGGATATCTGCTAAGCGCAGGAAGAGAGCTATGCCCGTGCGGGAAGGAGCGTCCAATCACGCGCCGCGTGCGCCCACGAGAAGGCCTGCCCTCACGCGCGGAGCAAGCGGCAGCAGGAAGCGGCCAGCCAAAGCCGAGCAGGGCTGAGCATCGTTTTTTCTTTTTTTGCAAAGCACGTGTTTGCTTTCCGTTTGCTCATGTGTCAACACGAGTTGTCCCCTTTTTGGACGCTGCCAATGGTGGATCTGTAAGCGATCAACCTCACAAATGGATTTTGTTTGCAACTGATCTCCAGGTTTGGTTCCTTGGGGGTCCATTTCTTTGAGGTGGGCGAATTGCTTTAGCTCATCCAGACACAACCAATTTTTCAGGGAGAAGTGCTCAATTAATGCATTCACCCGAATGAATCCCTGAATCGGGGGATTACAAGGTTGCTGTGAAGGTTGCTAAAGGGAACTCCGATGCCATTGCCTGTTGACTTGGGAGCATGCAATGGACCTTAGAGTCGTTTTCAAGCATAGAGGTCCAACTGTGCTTTCCACCAGTGTATTGTTTGAAAAGGGGATGTTGTTTGTTTGGACCTTTGTGAACAAGATGTGAGTTGTACAGGGATTCATGACATGATCGGCTAAAAGTTCAACTGTAGCCCTGTAGCATCAATCGAAATTTCAAGCAAAAGGGGTTCACCATCACAAGTGTCCTTTTAGGTTGTTTTGCTAGAAAAATAGATGGCCCTGGTTTACCTGGTGGTTTAATCATCTACCAAGGCCATCTATTTCCCCTAAAAGAACACCTATGTTCACCATTTGTAGTCCATTCCAAAAGGCTTGCATGTCTTTTCCACACGCAGACCACCCGTTGCGTAAGCTGTTTGGACTTTGGACCACGGAGGCATGTTTCGCGTAGCCGTTTGCTTGTGACACTTGAGTGGTACTCGCGAACAAGCTATCTTGCAAGTCCAAGACCATGGGGTCACCAAGAAAAGGGACACTTGGAAACCTGTCGATTGAATCTCACGATGGGTGTGCGGTTTTTGAGAGTACCGTTTTGGGGGTTGGTTTAAAGTGACATGATACGGCAAACCACAATTCTTCTCCCTATTTTGACGCATACCCAGATTGTCAAACTGTTCGACTACCGACAGGACCACCCTTTTTGTCTCGTGCACCAGGAAAACTCACCCGAATCCACCTGGCGCAGGACGTCAAACGCCTTCAGAAACGATGCGACTTCTTTTTTTCTTCTGTACGCTTCACTGGTTTCCCGTCAAATTCATGGATAGGAGATCCGCTTGTCATGGTGGCTTTCAGGGCTCATCTCTTCATCCCACGCCTTTCCTGATTGAGTTTCAGTCAATGCCGCTTCACACGCTGCCAAATATATATATATATATGTATATATATATATGTATACATATATATATATATATGTATATATATATATATCTATATATATGTCCCGTCGCGCGCCCAGCTTTGGCCTGGAGAAAGGCGGCCAAGCCTGCTTGAAGTTTGACCGGCTTTGCTTAGGCCTCAAGTGGGTGAAATCTCAAGTTGGGGAAGACCGTTTCAAATTACTTTGGTTTCCCTTTTCAGGGCAAGGCGCGGCCGTTGTATCCCAAAGGGCTGAAGGTGTTCAGCCTTGGTTTGGGCCAGCCAGAATCTGTTTGGGCTGCCCCAAGAATCTTGGGACCTCAAAGGGAGATCCAGACTCCTCCAATGGAAGGTCCGGTGATGCTTCCAGTGGGGCAACAGCTGAGGTTTCTTGCACGGGGGGATTTTTATTCGGATGCTCGCAGGCATGCCGCTGCACCCGATGAACGTCTTCGACCGGCTCTACCAAGACGCGGTGAGGCGCTTCAACCGCTTCCAGGCGCAACCGCTTCCGGTCTCCAAGACAGGGCTATGAATGTTGATAGGGAACCACCTCAAAAGTGATTAGTGGACATGCCCAGCTGAATCACGGCCACCAAAGGGGGTTCAGTTGCGGTTTCGGTTTGTGCGGGGTTTGCGGGGTTTGTGTACTTTTCCGCGGGTTGGGAGGGAGTCCGGAATCTTGCGGAGGATAAGTCCTTGGTTAGTGAGTGGGTTGGAGAAGCTGATCGCTTAAGTCAGGGAGTGCGACAAACCATTGCTTTGCAGTTTTGCAAAGATTGTTGGGATTCTCAGATTTTGAGCCCCCCAGCTTGTAGGAAGATGGGCCTCTAGTTGCCCTTTCAAAAGCGGCCGGTTGTGGAAGACACGTGCGGTCGAGAACCTGCGAGGAGAAGTGGGTCATCGACATGCGGAATGCCCAGCAAGAGACCTGGGCGGGGGCCCAACAGTTTTTGGAGAGCCGACAGTCCGTTTCAAAGGGTCCCTACTGCGGATGGACGAAATCCATTCGCACCACTTTGAAACCATGAGAAACCATTGTTTGTTGGTATTTATAGGGGACTCATCATTCCAGGGTTTCTTAGGTGGTGCAGGATTTCGTCCATCCACAGTATCACAGGTGTCCTTTCAGGCTTTGGGGTTAATTAGAAATAGATGGCACTGGTTTGGATTGGATTCCAGAGCAGCCCGGCTTAGGCGCAGGAAGGCGTGGAAAGCAACATGGGAATGCATTGCCAAAGTGCAAAAACTGGGGCTCCAACCCACAGTGTTCTCCACGCCGGTTTTTGAGCCTTTCGAATGACCAAGCCTTGAGTACCTACCTACCAAAGCCATAGTTGTTTCCAGTGTCGGGGCAGGCTATGCCGAATTCAGGGCCCCCCCTTCTTCCGGGTTATGTTGGACCCAAAGCGGGGTACTTCGAGCCGCAGCCCCTTGGCTGAGGAGCGGATCTTGGGCATCTACGACGGCCCCCCGCTGTCACGGGAGCAGGTGACGGCGCTGGTGAAGGGCGGGCTCTTGGACGTGAGGACCGTCGTCGTTCGTTCGGTTTAGGTCGGAGAGGGCGGGGGTTGCAGGGTGGTGGTGTCTGCCAGTCTACCCTTTTGTGGGGCTTGAGTCATGGTGGGTGGGTGGGTCGAAAAGCCCGCATTGTTTTCAGACTCTCAGATTTTCAAGCTTATATTTGTAGGCGCAATCACACTAAACTCCCGAATAAGAAGCATCCAGACAAGTTCAGATAGCCCATGCTGTCTTCACCTCTTCCTCCTCTCCTGTTGTTTACTCTGTTAGTATATGCTTGTTTTGTTCTCTTCTAGTTCCCCAGTACTGACGGGGGTGTAGAACTGCCCCATTTGTTGATCCACCCATGTTTCGACACATACTGTAGATATATACATATATACATCATATTGATACGTCAGAGAAAGCATACCAATATGATACATGTATATATATATATATATACATATATATATATATATATATATGTATATATATGTGTGTGTATGTATACACATGTATATGCGTATACACATCTGTATATATTTATGTATAAATAGATCTCCGCCATCGATCTATATCCTCAGGAGGTTCGCCTTCGACGACGCGCCAGCGCTGAGCTCCTGCCCCAACTGTGGGGCAAACCTGAGGCGCCAGCCAGCCTTGTGGTTTTGTGGTTTTGGGGGGAGGAGGGGGGTGGAGGGGCGTCCCTTTGGGACTGATTGGGTTTTCCTTGTGAAACTTCGGCAAATCTGGGCTGTATTTCCTGGGTCCCTTTGTAGGGAGTCAAACCTCGGGTTAAATGATATTGTGGCTTTCGCATTTGCCAGCTGAGTGGGTTTTCGTTGGTGAAGCATGCAAATTTGGGCTGTATTTTGGGGCGAACCCTGTCAAGGCCATGTCCATGCGTCGGCTTTTTTGGGGAGATGGGTTGCGCTTAAATTCAACGGCCTTTTGGTTCAACTGGTGCTATCTTTCCTCTTGCTTTCGTCTTGTTTACTAATTCAAAGACTTCCTTATTGGACAAAGGTGACATGTTAGGCCCCCGTTTGGAGAAGCTTGCTCGTTCGGGAATGATTGGTTTCCTTGACCAACCCCCGCAAACGATTCCCTGCTGAGGGAACCATTTTTCAGGGGTATGCCAGGGCTAGGAACACTCCCTGAGTTCCTGAGCTTGATACATTTTGGGGCAAACCCACAGGACCCCCGTTTTGGTGGTTCAACAGCACCTGTTTGCCCAGGTGAGTTTCCCTCGGGGTGATGTTCTTGGGCTCACATTGGAACTTTGGAACCCTGTGGTTTGAACCATAGTTGAACTCTGCGGAAAGAACAAGCGAAAAAAGATGACAGCATACGACCGTGGGGCGAACTCTGGTGGGAAAGTGGGTGAAACATGATGACACCAACCCTTTTTGCTAGCCCCAGGCCGGTTTTTTTGACCTCCGGTGCCATCCGTGTTTCCAGCTGGATTCCACTGGGATCGGCCGGGGGGGGGGGGGGGGCGGCTTCGTGGGCGCCAGGGCGGCCACTCCGGAGAGGCTGAGCTTCCGGCCGCACAGCCAGCCCTCCGAGCCAGGGCCCGTGGGTATGGGGTGCGGAGGCATGGTGCCACAGGCAAACCAGAGGCAGCAGTTGGTAGGTTTAGGAAGCAGCAGTATTGGGGGGTTTCATCCATCTCAACTGGTGCGTACCGTGGATTTTGTCCGTTCGCAGGAAGCCGATTTATGGGGGGTGTTATCCCCTTTGGGCTGGTGGTGGAAGGGAGGCTGATCCCATTTCAGAAGGAAAACCAAAAGGAAACCAAGAGGAAACCAATTCAGACCTCTTGCGGGACAAACGAGCCCCGAGGGCCCGTCGCCCCAAGCTGGAGCGGATGCGGACCTGGGGCGGCGCGCTGTCGATGCCCAAAGGCTTCGGGGCTTCGCCCGGAAGGGGAGTGGGGAGTGGGGAGGGGCCATAAAGGGAGGTCAAAACATGCGATTTGTCGTCTTTCTTGGGGTGTTGCTCGTTTTTTTGTACTGGACTTGGGGTGCGACTTGGGGCGCGACTTGGGCCTTGTTTTTTGCAGGGCCTTGTTTTTTCTTGGGGTGCGACTTGGGCCTGAAGGTTAACCGTTCACGGCCATTCCGTTCTCTGTGCAGGCACCACCTACACCTCGGCGGAGGCGCTGACGAGCCGAAGGGATTTGTACCTGGACATCGTGGGCTTCCACCCCAATGCGCCCCAGGAGAGCGCTGGCTGGAAGGCTCGATGTTGTGGGTTGGGTTGAACATGGGAGCCACAAGAGTCCAAGTATTTCCCTCTGGTGGCTTCGAACATTACCTTTTTGGCCCATTGGTGAGATTTGTTTGTGTGATGTTTAAAGGGGAAATATACGGATGCCCTATTAGGTTCCTGAGTTGGAATGACCCCTGATTCCTTGGGAATCGGCAAGCAAAGGGGAACCATAGGCTTCAGTAGGGAATACCCCCGGTGGATGCACAAAATCCATGTCAGGCACCGGAGATGGATGATGCCCTTTGAATACTGGTTCATAACCGACCTACCAAGTGGTGCAGGAGTTTGTCCATCCATAGCACGAATCATCCCTTGTGGGGATTCCCTTAGTTCGTCCCCCAAACACTTGACATCCCAAGCTGGCCAAGTTGGCCTAGGTTACCTTGTTTGCTTTTTAGTTTCACTTTGAATCCTTTAAGTTCCTGCCTACTTCCTACTAACCTTCACGCGGCCACAGCCGGTGAGGGGCTTTCTCATTCCAGGAGCGCAAAGCCTTTGCCATTGTGAGTGAAGCTGACCAGCATCTCGGCTCCAAGCGGGGGGACTGGGATGCGTGCGTGTCCCTGCCGTTAACTCTGTGTGCACCCATGGTACTTCTGAGGTACCACCGCCACATGCACCTCCAGCGCTTCGACGACTCCCCGAAGACTCCCAAGCCTTTGGTCTCGCCCAAGGTGTCGGAGCAGGGGACCCCGGCTTCGGCCAGATGCATGCGTGCGGGGGAAGGGGGTGCAAAAGAGGAGGGGAGGTGCTCTTCACTGCTCTTGGCTTTTCGGCGGTTTTCCACATTGCGGGAAAAGGGGCTTTGGCTGCCACAAGTGATAAATCGGTCATGGGGATGACCCACTTTGGCATCACAGAAAGGAGTATTCCCACAATCATGGTTTTGCAGCGAGCTCCCTTGGGCTATTGGGGGCCATTTGACTGCCATTCGGGGGGGTTCTCTGCTGGATGTGCGTTTCCCCCTTACTTCAGACCTGCGCCCCTTCATGGCTTTGTTTGGGAAAGCTCCCTTCCAAGATGACCCGAAAAGGAAGGGGCGTCGACTGAATGGATGAGGAAACCTTACTGATGTTGCTCTGTTTCCCCAAAGAGATCCGAATTCTCTCTCACTTCCTGAGAAACCTCCTAAGAAACCTCAAAGGTCGCTTTTAGTATTTGATGGGCATTGCCAATCCATTGTCCCCCAAATGTGCCATCCATTAATTCGCCTCTGGGGCGGAAGAGTTACTAAAATGAGTTTTCCCGTGGTCTTGGCTAAATTTAGTTTTATGGTGCAAACCTCCATTCTAATTATTTAAGGGCTGCCGCCCAGTGCCGCCGACCCCTCCGCTGGGGGCCAGCCCAGGTTTTTTTTTGTTCTGGCAGCGGCTTTTGGCTGGTTCTGGCTTGCTGGCTTGCTCGCTCGCTTGCTTGTTTGCTTGTTTTCAGCGCTTTTCCAGGCCGCGCTCGTTTGCCCACAGCGAGCACCAACCAAAGGAGTGCTATATGGAAAGTAGACAGCAATCGGTCCCCAGGGCGCAACCAGCAAGAACAGCTTCGCGTCCAGCGCGCTTGGAGGCCGCACTCGCTGCGCTGCAGCGAGCACGAACCAAAGGAGTGCGCCGGCAGCCTGCTCCGCCGCGGCCGAGTGCCTAACGTCGCATTTGAGTCCAACATGCAGCAAAGCTATCGGTGCAGAGGGAGCGGCCAGCCACAAAAGCTTCGCTTCCCGCGCTTTTCCAGGCCGCACTCGTTTGTCCACAGCGAGCGCCAACCAAAGGAGTGCGCCGGCAGCAGAAAGGAAAAGGAAAGAAACCAAAGGAGTGCGCAGAAAAGGAGAAAAAGGAAGAAAAAAGGCCGTACGGGCGGGCCGCGAGAGAGCTTCAGCGCTGAAAGCTGTGCCCTGCAGGTGTTCGAGCGCTGTTTTAGGCCGCACTCGTTTGCCCCCCACAGCGAGCACCAACCAAAGGAGTGCGAAGACAGGCCGAACGGGCTGGCCGTGACAGAGCTTCAGCGCTGAAATCTGCGGCCAGCAGGTGTTTGAGCACTCTCGGCCTTCTCAGCTCAGGGGTAGTTGGTGTAGCGGCATCACACCCAGCATGTGAGAGGGCGGGCTCAATCCCCGGCCTGTCCATGCCCATGTGCGCCTGCGTCTGTCACAGTTTGCCTCTCCCTGGTCTTTCATCCCTTTGGGTTTGCTGTGCGTCTTGCCAAGACCGGCTGGTACGCCGCGGCCGGGTGCCGAACGTCACTTTTGAATCCTATATAGAAAGTAGAAAGCTATCGGTCCCCAGGGCGCGACCAGCAAGAACAGCTTCGCGTCCAGCGCGCTTGGAGGCCGCACTCGCTTCGCCGCAGCGAGCACGAACCAAAGGAGTGCGCCGGCAGCCTGCTCCGCCGCGGCCGGGTGCCTAACGTCGCGTTTGAGTCCAATATGCAGCAAGGCTATCGGTCCGTCCAGCGGCCTCTTTTCGCTGTGGGCAAACGAGCGCGGCCTGGAAAAGCGCTCAAGCACCTGCAGGGCACAGTTTTCAGCGCTGAAGCTCTGTCACGGCCCGCTCGTCCGGCCTTTTTGCTTCCTTTCTGCTGCCGGCGCACTCCTTTGGTTGGTTCTCGCTGTGGGCAAAGGAGTGCGGGCCCGCCCGTTCGGCCTCTAGTCTTCCTTTCTGCTGCCGGCGCACTCCTTTGGTTTCTTTCCTTTTCCTCTCTGCTGCCGGCGCAAGCGCGGGAAGCGAAGCTTTTGTGGCTGGCCGCTCCCTCTGGACCGCTTCAGCGCTGAAAGCTATGCGCAGCAGGTATTTGAGCACTCTCGGCCTGCTCAGCTCAGGGGCAGTTGGTGTAGTGGTATCACACCCGCTCAGCATGCGAGAGGGGCTGGGTTCAATCCCCGGCCTGTCCATGCCCATGTGCGCCTGCGTCTGTCACAGTTTGCCTCTCCCTGGTCTTTCATCCCTTTGGGTTTGCTGTGCGTCTTGCCAAGACCGGCTGGTACGCCGCGGCCGGGTGCCGAACGTCACTTTTGAATCCTATATAGAAAGTAGAAAGCTATCGGTCCCCAGGGCGCGACCAGCAAGAACAGCTTCGCGTCCAGCGCGCTTGGAGGCCGCACTCGCTTCGCCGCAGCGAGCACGAACCAAAGGAGTGCGCCGGCAGCCAGAAAGCTATCGGTCCCCAGGGCGCGACCAGCAAGAACAGCTTCGCGTCCAGCTCGCTCTCGCTTCGCCGCAGCGAGCACGAACCAAAGGAGTGCGCCGGCAGCCTGCTCCGCCGCGGCCGGGTGCCTAACGTCGCGTTTGAGTCCAATATGCAGCAAGGCTATCGGTCCGTCCAGCGGCCTCTTTTCGCTGTGGGCAAACGAGCGCGGCCTGGAAAAGCGCTCAAGCACCTGCAGGGCACAGTTTTCAGCGCTAAAACTCTCTCACACCCCCCCCGTCCGAACCTTTTTCCTTCCTTTCTGCTGCCGGCGCACTCCTTTGGTTGGTTCTCGCTGTGGGCAAAGGAGTGCGGGCCCGCCCGTTCGGCCTCTAGTCTTCCTTTCTGCTGCCGGCGCACTCCTTTTGGTTTCTTTCCTTTTCCTCTCTGCTGCCGGCGCAAGCGCGGGAAGCGAAGCTTTTGTGGCTGGCCGCTCCCTCTGGACCTTCAGCGCTGAAAGCTATGCGCAGCAGGTATTTGAGCACTCTCGGCCTGCTCAGCTCAGGGGCAGTTGGTGTAGTGGTATCACACCCGCTCAGCATGCGAGAGGGGCTGGGTTCAATCCCCGGCCTGTCCATGCCCATGTGCGCCTGCGTCTGTCACAGTTTGCCTCTCCCTGGTCTTTCATCCCTTTGGGTTTGCTGTGCGTCTTGCCAAGACCGGCTGGTACGCCGCGGCCGGGTGCCGAACGTCACTTTTGAATCCTATATAGAAAGTAGAAAGCTATCGGTCCCCAGGGCGCGACCAGCAAGAACAGCTTCGCGTCCAGCGCGCTTGGAGGCCGCACTCGCTTCGCCGCAGCGAGCACGAACCAAAGGAGTGCGCCGGCAGCCTGCTCCGCCGCGGCCGGGTGCCTAACGTCGCGTTTGAGTCCAATATGCAGCAAGGCTATCGGTCCAGAGGGAGCGGCCAGCCACAAAAGCTTCGCTTCCCGCGCTTTTCCAGGCCGCACTCGTTTGTCTACAGCGAGCACCAACCAAAGGAGTGCGCCGGCAGCAGAAAGGAAAAGGAAAGAAAAGAAACGAAGAAGAACAAGAAAAAAGGGAAAGAAAGAAGGCTGGTAAGGTACAGGGCTGAACGGGCGAGGGCGAAAGGGAAGGGAGAAGGCTGCCACAGTCACGCTCCAACGCTAAACGAACACTCCCCCAGCGCCTTCCCCTTGCAGGCAGGGGGGTCGGCGGATTTAGCCCTATATTGTCTGTTTGGGGATGGTTCAAAGACAGTTTTGCTCCGAGCCTTTAAACAATGACCACACCTAGACGAATGGTATGGCTTCCTTTGTTTCCCTATTCTTTCCAGGGATTCTGGAGACCACCAGACCCTCCAGAAAAAAAATAAAAAAAAAAAAAAAAAAAAAAAAAAGAAAAAAAAGAGAAAAAAAAACCAAAAAAAAAAACAAGAGGAGCCCGGGAACCCAAAAGCAAACCAGCCTCACTCCCCATGGCATGTGGATCCCGTTGTTTTCCGGCTCAAGGGTCCGAAGGCAAACCAAGATTTAAGTTGTTCACAGTTGGGAAATCAACCCCAAAACAGATGAAGAAGGGGAGCAACGGCAACTCAAGCCGGATTGGCAGCCAGCAGCCTGTGCTCTGACCAAGCACAGAGAAAAAGGCAAAGGCACGGGTGAAACATGACAGGCCCCGCACACATGGAAGGCACGAAGTCATCCGATTCATCATGAAGAACCAATCGCAGAAATCCGAAAATGGATCCGCACAAACTACCACTCCCAAATTGGAAGCAAAGCATAATATCATAAGCTCGCTCTACACCCATCTGAAACAAGTCTGAGACACAGTGTTACAACACGATCTAATTAGACCGGGGTCAGCTGTATGGATGTTCATGCGCCCTTTTGTTTGGCTCGCTCGCGGGCGGTTTCCGCCTGTCACGAGCGTCCACCGCACCAGTCTCGCTCGCGGGCGGTTTCCGCATGTCACGAGCGTCCACCGCGCTAGTCTCGCTCGCGGGCGGTTTCCGCCTGTCACGAGCGTCCACCGCGCCAGTCTCGCTCGCAGGCGGTTTCCGCATGT